TGGGTCCTCGTTTTCTAAAGTGTATCAAAATGGTCCCTAATTTTGAAAATTGATATCAATTGAGTCCTTTCCGTTAAGTTGGCTGGACGACGTTAAAAAAATTGATGAGTGTTCGTTCGTCATCTCAGCATCCACTCATCAATTTTTTTAACGTTGTCCAGCCAACTTAACGGAAACGACTCAATTGATATCAATTTTCAAAATTAAGGACCATTTTGATACACTTTAGAAAACGAGGACCCAATTGAGACATTCGTACATAAATAGGGATGTCGAAAAGGATTAAACCTAAAAAAAATTACAAAAAGTGAAATAAAAAATAAATAAAGGCAAAGTGGATAGAAGAGATTAAATTAAGTACACTAACCCCTTTCTCTTTCGAAATCGAAATCAGATAGGGAGAAAGTGAGTTTTAGGGTTCGCAGAAGAAATTGCAGCCCTTTCTCTACGATTGGGGAAAGCAGAGTACTTGGCGAGCATATTCTGGGACTGTGCGAGCTGAGCGTCTATCTTGGGCAATTGGTCCACCGGTATGGCAATCCGAAGGCATGCCACGTGTGCCGACAGAAGTTGTTCATATAGAGGATACGATATAATCTCTTCCTTAAACCTCGCATTCTTAGAGTTCATTAGACCGTCTCCACCGCCCTCCACTACTGCTGCCTCGCTCTTCAAATCGCTGGATCCGGCGCCGGTCATGGCCTAGTCGGATGCTGTCGTGACATCGTCGATGATCTCGCTCTGTTTGCGGTGGAGGATCGGACGCGCCAACCATTGGCCAGAGTCAGTAGCCGCAGTGTGGAGGTTGAGGAAGTTGGTGCTGCTGTTGTTGGCAGCGTTAACGTTGGTGTTGGAGTTGCTATTGTCATTATTGTTGCTTGTGGTGGTGTTATTGGTGTAGTGCGTGCGAAGAAGAGCGTTGTTGAGCCAATTTGGCGTTGGTTGGTGAGGATCAGAGGGAGGTTTGGAGGTAGGGTCGGAGAGGAGAGATGCGTCAGTGAGAGTTTGGTTATGGTGTTGTTGTTGGTCAGTGAAATGGTGGAGTGGAAGGTCTTGAGGGTTGTGGTAAGCCATATATGATAGAAATGAAACTCTTTTCTACTTTGTGTGCGAAAAGTAGCACCTATTGATTCATGGCGAAGTGAAGAGGAGTGAGGAAACAAGAAAGGAAAATGGAAAATGTAGGAAACATAAAACAATGTTGTCAAACTCACATTCCCCCAATCTGATTTCGAGTTCGATTTCGAAAGAGAAAGGGGCTGTTGCACTTAATTTAATCTCTTATGTCCACTTTGCCCTTATTTATTTTTTATTTCCCTTCTTTGCAATCTATTTTTTAATAAAAAATACAATTCAAACTCGTTTTTAATGCCATGTCTGATTAAACAATATATTGACCATGTCACGTAACCCAAATCTAAATGGTCGTTTGTCTAATTTTATGGTAAAGATTTAATTGATGCAATTTTCACAAAATAAGAATCCAATTGAGACGCCAAAAAAGAAAGGAACCTATTTGAGATTCTAGACGAAAATAGAGACCTATCGAAACATTAAACCTTTCTCTTTCATTAAAACACAACTCTAATTCTCACGTCACAGACCCTACACTTCTCTTCATTTTTTTTTCATTCACTTATTCCATACAACACACTAACCCCACCTTTCTCTCTCTTTATTTCACGTAACTTATACACACAGTTCACTAGTGCAGAAAGGACTTTAGACGTCTATTATTTTGGGCTTTTAACGTCAGATCCCAATCTGACGTCTTTATGGGTGACGTTAATGGGACGTCGGACTCTACAGGTCCGACGTCTTTATAGACGTCGGATTACACCAAAATCGACGTCTATAGACGTCGGACATGGCATTAACCGACGTCTACTACAGCTTGTGTCTTTGGGTAGCATAGTAGCACCTTCTTCCTTTGCTTGTTTCCTCATAAGAAAAGCTTATGTCTTTTGGACCTCTTATGGCATTTCAATCGAAAACTGAATCTGGTTCCTTGCCTAGTTCCATTCCAACTGGCAATGAAAACGAATACGGTGGCATGAGAATTAGGCAAGGACCCAGTTTCGGTTTTGGGTTGAAATGCTATAAGACATCCAAAAGACGCAAGCTTTCCTTACAAGGAAACTAGTAAAGGGAGAAGGTGCTACTACGCTACCCAAAGACACGAGAAAAACTACACTAAAACACAAAGAAAACTCATTTTAATCGGTTCAAATGGAAGATAACCCATCAAAAACTAATTTAATCGAAGTAAATGTAAGTTTAAACGGTGCAAAAGAGACAAAACGTACCTGAAAATGCAATGCCGCGGAGAGAAAAGGCGAGAAGGAAGACGATGAAGTGTGCGTAACCGCGGGTTCGATTTTTGATTTAACAGGAACCCAGACGTCGGGCACAGGGGGCACCGACATCTATTCTCGACTAGACATCGAGGACCTCACTAATATGACGTCTATTCGATTTAAAAATTAATATCCGTGGTGTATATAGACGTCGGACGTAAGGGGAGTCGACGTCCAAAACAACTTTTCACCTACCCTATCAGGCCATTTAGACGTCGGATGGCGGGATCAGACGTCCATATGGCGGAAAAAACAACTTTTCACCTACTTGTCAGGCATATAGACGTCTGTTGCAGGGAACCGACGTCGATAATCGTAAATAGATGTCAGGGATGACGGGATCAGACGTCTATATGGCGGAAAAAAAGAACTTTTCATCTACCTGTCAGACATATAAACGTCTATTAGGAGGGGCACCGACGTCTATAATATTAGAGACGTTGAGGAGCCCCCTAACCGACGTCTATATGTCCAACTTATTTACGAAAATGTCACCGGTCAAGAATTTACGTTGGTTATTTTATGGTCTGACGTCTACGGAATAACGTTAAAGGCCAATTCTACGCTAGTGGTTCTTTCTTGCTCACACCTCCCGCTGCAAGTGCTTAACCTTGCATGCAAAAACTCTTCTCCTTTCTTTTCTTTTTCTTTTACAAAAAGCCCAACACTACACCTTAACCTACGTAAAACCCTTTCTTTCTTTCATTCATAATAACCACCCTCCTACTTGTTCCTTCATCATTCTCCCATTTTCTTCTCATTTCTATTCTCACCCATGCATCTTTTTCCAAACAACCATCTACTACTCTTTATTTTCTTTTATCTCTAGTCACCTACCTTTTCTCTCACAACTCAACCTTCCCGTAGCCAATTCCCTTGACACTATTACTCTTAGGGTGCAACCTCGAAGAGTCTCAAGGTTCAAAACACATCTAGGTTTCCTATTTCTTTACTTCCCTCACGCTACCTACACGCACTACTCACTTTATATAATTTTTCTCCATTCACATTGGATATATAAATACATATACATAACATGCTCTCATGCAAACACAGAACACCCACCTTACGGATGCCACACGAAACGAACTGGAACAGTACAAATTATACCAAGATCAATACCCAACATTATACTTCAGGATAATTTCTAGCCACTCCCCTCCTTACCTTATTTTCCAGAGATCCTCTGAGTTCCTTTGAATGTTCAAGGTCTGACCAATGTTGCTCACTCCCTCTACGAAATACCACATGCTCACTAGAAATAAAATATCAATTGACTAATAATAAAAACAATTACTTAATTTATCTCAATCTTATATCAAGAAAATAAAATAATATTACACCTAAATAAATAGAAAATCAAATTTACCTATTCCTATTTTATCTCTATTAAAATTAAACTAAATATTACTAAACTCAAACTAATAAAATAATATTAAAAAAAATTACTAATAAATCTTTAAAATTTAAATTTATTCCAACATATATCGCTTTTGCAATTGACCCCTTGAGAACAAAGGTTTTGAGGTTTTGTTATAGAGGAAGGTAATGTAACAGCTATAGTAAAGAATGGGAATGAGGAAGGAGATCATATAACCACTGTAGTAAATAATGGACCCAAATATAAGGAGACTTGGCAGAATCAAGAAGAAGGAGGTGCATTAAGAAGGAAAATAACTAACTCTAAGCTGGAAGATTATTGTGTGGGCCTGAGAGTGAGATAAATAGCAAAATATAGAGAGAGAACGCCATGGACTTGGTGTGATGTCACTCCCTTCCCCGGGGAATCTTCTATTTTGTATTTCCTTCTGAATTCTATTTT